ACCTTTCATTATGCCTAGTTTTCTTACCTACAACATGGGAAAAGTAACTGGATTAATTTGAGGATTAAGTAAGATGCATTTAGTAGGGTTTTTGGCACTGATAATAGTGGTTTAATACATATTTACCATTATTGTTATGAGTGTAGGTCCTCCGTAAGACTTTCCTTTCTCTTCCTCCTCCTTATTCTTCTCTTTGACCCATCTAAATAACCTAAAGTAAGATTCCAAAGTTCTGCTTTTTGTGGGTTATGAAATGAGAGGCTGAAAGACTACAGGCTGCATTTTATTAAGGCCTGAACTGTGTCCTCCCAAAATTCATGCATTGAAGCCTTAACCCTCAACGTAACTGTATTTGCAAACAGGGTCTTTAGGAAGTAATTAAGGCTAAGTGAGCTCATAAATGCAATGGTGGGCCCCAATCATACAGGGCTGGTGCCCTTACAAGAAGAGGAAGAGAAAGAGAAAGAAATCTCTCTCCCTCCGCTCTATGTGAGAAGATGACTGTCTGCACGCCGAGAAGCAAACCCTCTCCAGAAACTGACCCTGCTGGACCTTGACCTGCACCTTCCAGCCTCCATAACTATGAGAAAACAAATGCCTGTTGTTTAAGTCCCCCAGTCTATGGAATTTTGCTATGGCAGCCTGAGCAGACTAAGACATGTGGTTTCCTTGAATCTTCAAAGCGGCTTCTTGAAGTATTTATTGTTAACAAGTTTACTACTCCACTACTGTAGCATTTCACAAGCAGGGGCTACTGCTGAAGCTGAGTGACCTTCAGGATATACTAAAAAGGTACTAAGTTAAAACAGATGATGGGAGTAAAGATTTTGATAACCAAGTAGAGCTTTTTGGTTTGACTAGTTTTCACAATTCAAATCTGGCCCTGAAAAAAAATTCTTGCGTTGTTGGGCCAAAGCAGACACTGTGAAGGCAATAGGCTGTGTGTACAAATAGGGTGCCTGAGCAGAACACTAATATTATTATTAATATTAATAGAAAACAAATCACAACATACACCCACAGAGTAAAAGGGAAGTATGTCATCTTTTAAACCAAATGATTTCTTTCACAAATAGACTTAAAATCATGTATTTCCAAGGTTTACAAAAGAGGAAGTTTTGAAACAGAGATTAAGTAACTCTGTCGCCCAGGCGACACAGTTTATAACCTGGGGTTAGAGCGAGGGTTTCAGTCTGGGCAGTCTGGCTCTAGATTTGTGCTCTTTACAGGATTGCAAAACCCACTGGCATAGATTCCCCCCATGATGATCTCAACAGTTTTCCCTGAGCCAAGTAAAACTGAGAATTTAAACTTTTTCCTTATTTCTTTGTTAGGGTACTGAAATGAACAGAAGCTCTCAAGCCTGGTACACTGATTGCCAATTTCCAACAGCAATCCCTAAAATGATAAAGGATATCTTTCATGAGCAGTGGCCCACACAGTTAATGGTAAAACACTAGATATTTTCTCAATTAAATCATTAATACAGACAAAGTTACCTGCTCTTACCACAATTATTTAACATAGTTAAGGAATTCCACTCAAGGCAACAAAAAGTGGGGCACAAATAGAGGCATACTTTGAAAAATGGAAGACGGTATTATTTGTAAACCTTATAAAACTAAGAGAATCAAGTGAAATAATGTTAGGCTTTTTAAAGAAGTTTCATATGTGGCTGAATATAATACACATAAAAATAAATAGATCTTCTACCCATCAGCAGGGAAGTCTTAGAAAATATATCAGAAAAAAAATCTTATTCATAACAATAACAAAAAGATGAACCAAGATAACCTGAACAAGAAATTCAGTACCCAGATGGAGAAAACTGCAAGAAGTCCCACCCTTTGTCTCAGTAATTCATCATCTAGGAACTGACCTAAGAAGAGTCAGAACTCAAAGATTTATTAACAGATTTTTAAAAACTTAAATACTGGAAAATTTAAATACTCAATAGTAGGAGAATGTTAAATAAGTTAGGGCACATCCTTATGATCCAATTTTTATAAACCTTAAAGACTTTTAAGGACTATTTAGTGACACAGGGAAATGTTAAAAATACTCTAGTGAAAAAAATACTCCAGGGATATAAAAATTCTTACACCATTTAATGCTAATCTTGTTTAATATTGGTGTTTTTCTCTGGGAGGCAATTTGCATTTTCTTCACAATTTTTTGAAGTATCCTCACTCTCATTCCTCAGGTTATATGACACCAAACTTCTAATTCTTTTCTTCATTGACGTTTGGGATTTTTTTCTTCCCTCCATTCATGATCCACCCCTCCCCCGTCTTCTATTATTACTCCAGCTGATTTGTGGCCAATTCCATCCACTCCAATGGCTGTCTAACTGGTTATCTCCCCAAACCCAATTCTCCTTCTTTGCAAACTATGCTAGCTAAAGTTATCCACTTAGGTAACTAAGCCTGTAATTTCCATTATCCCAATTTCCTCTGTTCCTTGAATTCCTGCCATTTCAACCTCTTAAGACTCAAATTTGTTCCCTCATCTCCATCTTAGACACCACACTCTAAACAGAGACATTCTCCTTTCACCAGGACAAGTGCAGTAGACTCACTGCTCTGTAGTCTTAATCTTTTCAGTCCATTATCAGTCATGCTAAAGCACAAAACTGACCATCTCCCTCCACTATTCATTGTTTGTTTCGATGTCATGAAGGTTCCAACAGTTAAGAGATCCACGTTCTTTCAAGGCTCCCTTATTCACTGCTCACCTAAATTTCCCCACCTTCCCTTTCCCGTGGGGGTGGAAAAAGCAGCTAAGTAGAAGAGCTGTTGAAATAAAAAAGGAAATTCAGGCAGTGACTCAGCTCATGGACAATGCATGGAGACAATTGAAGCCTAACAATCGATTGGATTTTTCTCACCAAAGTGATCTTAATACAGTTTAGTGCCAATAAAAACTTCTCCTATTACTAGGCTCTGCTGTGGACCCCTAGAGGGGCTAGGTCATTTTCCAGGTGCTACCCACAGAATGGATTCTGTCTTTCTGGCCTGTTTTCCTTTGTTTACATTTGTTTAACCTCCTATCTTTTGTTCTTTGCTATGGATTTGACACTTGAAATACATCTCCTGCTCTGCATCCTAAGGAGTCCTCTATCTAGGCCCCAGCCTAGGCCAATCCCCTAGGTCTTTACTAACCTAACTGAACAAAAACACCAGGCTATGAGGGGTATAAAGCATATAGCTTTGCAAGTCAGTAAGACAAAATTAGCATTTTTTCCTGCCTATAGCCATTCTCAGCATGCTTATGTTGAAAAAAAGCACCTACACTGGGGAAGCCAGTGTCTAGTAGCTGCTACAGTGGTTGGGAAGGTGGTAGAGCAGCAGACCTGAGAGACAGTGTGTTGGGGAGAAGTGCAGAAGGAAAATGCCCCCACCCCTTCTTGGCAGTACAGTTGTGTCTGTGTGATACCTGGAAGTGCTGCTGTGATCACTGTGTGACTGTAAGGAGACACCTGTCAGCATAATGAAAACAGTGGCATAGAAAGATGAGGAGGACTAAGAGGAACCATTGCTGATTCCAGGACCAGGGCAGGAAGGCATACAAGACCACACCGGAAAATCTCGTCCTTGACAGCAAGGATATCCGGAGACTAAAGAGTTTCTATCAGAAGAACACATGAGCCATTGTGAAGAGACTCAATGGCCAAAGATGGGACAACTGGAGCATCAAAGAACATAATGACTGAAACTGAAGCACCAGATACATAAAACACGTAAATTCCTAATGAAATTTCAAAGCGCCCTCCTTCATTCAAAATCAAACATGAATTACCACTGGAGGTATGCAGGCCATCAACTTCTTATCCTGAAAATAGTTGTTAAAGGGAAAGAAGCATTTATCCTGTCTTTTCAGATCAAATCACGTAGCAGGGTAACTAAGTAGCCCTGGTTGATAATGTTCTGCTTTACGGGAGAATGATAAGTAATATATTTAGAGTGCAGGAGACATTTAGAAATTCACCATTTTGCAGCTTCCAGTTAATTAATGATTCTGGCAATCATGGAAACATTACATGAAATGTTGATGTGGGTCTTTAAAATGAAAGGGGTGGTTACTGCCATGTGTACTCACTGACCACAGAATCACCACAAGCTAGACAATCAGATAGTATGTGTCCCCTGAAACTATGTAATATGAAGGACATAGTACAGCTTATGCACTGTTCTTGCCCCTGGAAGTGATAGTTAATTTCCAGTTTGCAAGAAATATGGAGGATAGAACAACACCTTAGACAATACCATGAGAAAGCAGACAAAAAACCCCCAGAATGTGTGACATTTTGACAATTAACCCAGTTTTTTCAGCAATCAATGACATAGTAGGGGTGGAAGGGACAATTAAATGCAGAATGGCAATCAACTTTAATGTGTAGCCCTTGTTTAGATCCTGACTTGAACAAACCAAGTGTAAAAACACATTTTGGGCTACTTGGAGAAATTTCAATATGGACTGGATCTTAGAGGACACCAGGGAATTGCTGTTAGTATTAATTTTGTTTGCTGTGATGATAATGGCAGGTGGCTATGGTGAAAAAAATGTCTATCTTCTTGAGATGTGTACCCAAGAACGGAGGGGTGAAAACATTAGACGGTTGGGTTTTCTTTAAAATACTTCACATATACAAAAGATGTTAACTGGGATAGGTGAAAGAGGTATAGCAGAGGCTTGATGAATAATAGGCATGTGGGGGTTCAGGACACTGTTCTTTATTCCTTTGTGTACTTTTCAAATCTTTCATAATAAAGTTTTTTTAAAGATTAAAGAGAAGTAGCTATCTTAAGACACAAAATCTGAACAGAAGTTGAAAAAGTTTATTAGCATTACACTGTCATTTAAAAACAAATGTGAAATATTTTAAGTACACTTCTCAAATAAGATGTTCTTATCCACCCACATTAGTTTTTTGTGTCTTGAGTGTGTACCACTGCATATTTATTGCCAATGAATTTCAACATTGTTAACAGAGAAATTACCTGTTGTCAATAATCATTACACTGGAAGGTGGAATCCCTAGAACGTCACAGCTCTGCACAAGTTCTTTCTTACGAATCTCCCCTTGATTGTAGTAATTTCCTGGGGATAACAAACATAAGGTGGTCGATTTCTGTACACAGTGGGATCTATTGGCTCACTCATTTTTATCTTGTTCCCTTAGGGATTTAAACTACTCGAAAAATTTGTGGTTATGACAAACAAACTGAAGACAATACATCAAGGTTATTATCAGATACTCCTGTGAGAGGACTACCAGCAGCACCACTTAATTCTTCCCCACCTCTGTATCTATCTGTGGGTCTGTCTGCCTGTATTTTAGTGGCATGCTAATGCAGGACTGTACTTCACCAGGATCGCTGGCTTTGGCAGTAAGCAGATTTAGGATCAACCCTTCTATAACCACTTAGAACAAGTAGGATGCGTGGGCACACTGTAAGTTTGGGTCTCTGTAAATTGACAGTCCTCAAATATCTGTTTAACATTTAAAGAAGAGGCTGCTCTTCCTGAGTATTGTGCAGGAATATGTGCAGGTATCACTCAGTAATATATCCTCCTTTCCAGGGTTTAGCAACCAGCTACCCTGGCATACCTCTGGAGGACTTGACCACATCAGCACCCTAAGTAGCTTGTGCATTCTTTTTCCCAACATGCATACTACATGTCTTAGGAATAGTTTTGGTAGGTACAACTCCCCTGTATCCTTACAGATAGTATGCAATGAAGTTAAATTGCACTTATGAGCAATTATTTACTCCTTAGTTCAACTCTCCAGCAGGTAATTCCTTGTGCGGTTTGTCCCACTTAACTTTCCTGAGCCACAGTCACTCTCCCTATGAAGCAGGGATAATGGCCATCTCACCATCTCATAAGGCTTTCCTGAGGATTACATGAGATAACACATATCTTGCCAGCTCTGTACTCAGTGTTGTTTTCTCTTTCCTTGTCTTCTTTACCTTTCCCCTCTTCTTTCCTTTCTTCCTGAATTACAATCCATCTTCATTGCGCCCATCACATGGCATTCCCTCTGGGAAGACTTCTATTTTTCCTGGCAAGTAATCATTTCCAGTATTCTGCTCTTAAGTATGAACTTTTCTCCATGATCTGATTTTTAATTCCTAAATGTTATTGACCTTAAAAGTTGTGGTCTAATTCAACTTTGTGTCATCCTGGTGTCCAGCACACTGGAGGCACTCATAAAGTAGTGACAAAAGAGAGGCTTGGCTTTCTGTTCCAGGTAACACAGAAAAACTCCCCTGGGAAACCTCTCCATTTGGCAGGGGTTGTTACTCTAGTGCTAGTTTTTGACTGTTTGAACCCAGAGTGGAGACATGAGTCATTACATTGTATCCAACAAAGAAACTACCTCTAAAAAGACTCCAGATAGCTTAATTTTGTATTGTCCTTATCACAATTTTTTGTGAACTTAAAAAAAAAAGTCAGATAGAAATTATAGTCAATTTTGTGACTGTCGTTATGTTTTGGGTTGTTTTAGGTTCCTCCCAAATCCATACACATACCCTCTCCCATACTGTCTTAAGGTTACTTGATCTTTAGCAACAGCCTAATGCACACTGGTAATGGGACTCAAGTTCAGAGGCTGTGCACGTCAGACTCTGATTCTGGTTGTGAGAAACTGTAGAAGCACCGAATGTGTTTATGAAGCTGGTTTTATTTTGTGTTGGAATTAAGGAACTTGAAACAAGTTAGTAAGTCAGAGATCATTTAAATATTTTCACTAAGTTTGGTGAACCTGTAGGCACTTCAACAGACTGTCTGAGATCTTTCCACAGCTCTAACTGACATGTCCTAGAACAGCCTCCACCTGGGGTGGGTGCATGCTGGGATGGGCCAAGATAAACTGTGGGATGTGGGGTGGGAGGAAAAGCCTTAGAAATTCTCCTCTTAACTTGTTTACCTTGTCCTTTACAAATGTCAACTTCTGTTAATATTTTATAATGTACACATTAGTTCAGTGGTCCATGTACTTAATATAATTATAAATAAATATACATATAATGAGAGTATATGCTCAAAAAAGTTTTTACAAGTAGGAAAATGTAACCAAAAAAGAAAAACCTACTTGGAGATCATTACTCTAGAAAATAAAAAATATGTGGGATTAATGTAGATTTATTTATATAGAACTATATTGTATATGTGTGTATATGTGTATATAGCTTATAGATAATTGTATGCTCAGTGAAGTCTTCTGCCTTGGGATAACTAATACTTCTCAGTAATAGCTAGCAACCATAATGACATTAAACAGAAATTAAAGTCACTTTGTAAAGATGCACACTTATACACCACAATATTTTATAAAGTCTCACAATTATATACCACAATATATAAAAATTTTATTTTACTTTACAAATTTAAATTAATTTATTCTAAGTAGGTAACAAATTTATATAGCTAAAAATAAAAAGGAAAAAAACCCCCCTCTCCTGTTCCTTTAGTTACCTAGTTTCCTACCATGGAAGTCTTAATTTCTTAGGATGAGAAGTGGATTGAGCATCAAGGCATGGTCCCAATACCTGGCCTACTAACTTTACGGATCTGGAGAAATTTCTTAAGTTCCTGGGTTTCAGGAATGCCAGCAAAGTTTATCCTTGAGCATAAACAAGCAAATTCCAAAATGTATTTGGAAAAAAATAAGGTCAACATTTTTTCAACTACAAAATGAGGGGACCTAGGTTCTGTACCAGTTAGTTCTGTGCAGGACACAGAAACTGCATCAAATATTTACATCAGTAAGAATCTAATGAAGAGAATGTGACACGTAACTGATAATGGATTTGAGGGCCAAACAGGGAACAGTGAAGTGGCCATAGATTAGAGTCAGCAAGAAGTAACTACCAATCCTACATTGGAGGGATAAGAGAAAGGGGCAGTATTACTGGAGTTCAAAGGCCTGGGTTCTCCAAAGGAAATTTAAACCAAAAGAGCTGGCTTTTCTTCCATTAGAATGTGTCCACAGAACCCAGTTGGAGAAATCACAATTTAAAAATGAAACTAGAATAAAAAAATGGGCAAAGAACTTGAATAGACATTTCTCCAAATATAGACAGATGGCCAATAAGCACATGAAAAGATTGTCAATAGTGTTATTCATTAGGGAGCTGCGAAGCAAAACGACAGGGAGATATCGTTTCACACCCACTTGGATGGCTATAGTAAAAAAAAAAAACAACAACAACAACAACCAACTAAACAAACCTTAAACTGCAAGTGTAGTTGATGATGTGGAGAAATTAGAACATTTGTGCATTGCTGGTGGGAACATAAAACAGTGCAGCTACTGTGGAAAACAGTTTTGATTCCTCAAAAATTTAAACACAGAATTACCATGTAACTCCGAAATTCTACTCTCAGGTATATACTCAAAAGATTTGAAAACAGGAATTCATACTTACAGACCTTTGTCCAAAGCAGCATTATACACAACAGCCAAAAAACAGAACAACCCCAGTGCCAAAAATAAATGAATGGATAAGCTAAATGTGGTATGTACTTACCATGGGGTATTATTCAGCCTTAAAAAGGAATGAAGTTGTGATATATGCTACAACATGGGTGAAACTTTGAAAACATGCTAAATAAACCAGACCTAAGTGGACAAAAACTGTATGATTTTTTACTTACATGAAGTTCCTAGAATGGGTGGGTAGAATGATGGGATGTGTGGGATGATAAAAGAATCCTGGAAGTAGATGGTGGTTACGGCACAATATTGTGAATGTACTTAATGCCACTGACTGAATTAATACTTAAAAATGACTAAAATGGTAAATTTTATATTCTGTAGATTTAACCACAATAAAAAATAGTAAATTAGATTTGCATTGAATAAAGATCTTTCAGTTATGAGTTATCACTGTAAAACAGAAATTATGTGTTTAAAATTGGTGAAACAAGTTTTTAAAAGATCATTAAAAAGAAGACACTGATCATGCATCTATGAGGCCAAGATCAAGAAACACTGCCAGATACTATTATCAACCAATATAACCATACTTGTAAGTACTGTGTTTTTTTGCTATTCTCAAATGGAGTTCATTAATATTGACTTTTACTAATGGCAATATTACTTTTTGCCAGTTTCTCTGATCTGTAACTTACAGACAGTCATTAACAAGTCCAAACATACTGGAAACCACCTTTTCCTGAATGTGACAGGCATGTTTGTATCAGATGGGATGAGCAGTATGCACTGCATGAGAATAGTATCTAACTCATTGCAATAAGTGGTTATAAAAAATATTTCCAATATTAAGCTCTTTAAAATGCATTCATTTTGTTGATAATTTCCATTCTACACTTCTCTCAAGATTAGTTCTATTGCATTTTCTGTTTCATGCTTGTATCTTTCCTTTTCACTGTTCACAGGCAATCTTTATCATTGTGGAATTTCTCTTTGGTCTTGGACACGAACTCTTTAGCTTTTCTTTTATGGTTTCTCACAGTTTAAGCAAGTCCTTTATATTAACACTTAAAACTTTAACTCATTAATAAAAACTCTGAAAAGCATGTAATGTTTTTTAATTAAGTCAATTAAATAAAGTTATATCATCAAGACAAACATTTTTATCAACAATTATATACTATGTTAGGTTCAAAATAGGGGATGTGTATTAAGCTCCTGGCATATGAATTCTAAGGCTGAATATTAAAAAAGGGTAAGTAAATGTATACTCAGAAATAGATAAAATTCTCATAAACATTTAACCTTTCATTTAACCCACCAGCATCAACATTTATGAATAGGCATTGCTTTCAGTTAGTCACTGGATGCCTATGTATTCTCTGGTTGATATGATCATATGGAAATCTCATCAGTCTAAACCTTAGAGAAAAGTACCCAAGTATTTATATACATTTACAAATAGAACCTGAGATATATAAACTTTGAGACATGTTCTCAAGTTTCTATGAACTCCCTTAAAGAAACAATTCATATTTTAAAGTATTAGTAATTTATTCCATTCTCAATAGGATGCAGTCAATACTTACAACCATAGTTTTTTAGAATTCCCAAATATATTGGGTGATTAAAAAAAGACACATGAGACTAACACTTCTGAGACTGGATCTAAATGTATCTCAATAAGGAAAACTTTGAAGAGTCATTCATGATTAAATAGCATTGTTAGAAATAAATTGGTAAGTTCTGTTTTAGGAAATACAGTGAACCAGATGTCTGGAGATACCCTCTTAGCATAGAATGCTGGAGCATGTGAAATAAGGAAAATGTTAGAACATACAGCTGAATTAACAGGAAAGTAAGGGCTATCTCTGGCGGTCTTAAATAATAGGCAAGCACAAATTCAGACAGGTAGGGTGGAGCTGAAGCCTGGGCACCTTGAGTATAGCTGGCGGCCTACAAGTCAGGGCAAGAGGAGATAAAGTTTGGGCACAAATAAGGACACCTACACCCAGAGACAGACCTTCAAAAAGCAATCTCTACAGTGGGTGAACTAGAAAAAAACCCCACCCTGATGATAGGGCTACATCTTTTTCAGGCTTGGTTCTTGTGGAAGGGAAAACAAGAAATATGTCACCCCTTAAAGAATTCTTAACTACACACTTGCCTTTACTTGGTGTGGTACATTGTATTTTCCAAAAAATACCTACAGCAGTTATTTCTAGTTCCACATGCACTTACAGAACCTGCTGTTCCCTATCAGATAGAATCTATTTCTCTCCTTGAACCTGGGTGTGACTTGTGGTGCCTTGACAAACAGAATGCAGGGAAAGTGGTCCTGCATGGTTTCCAAGACTAGGCCACAGAAGGCAGTGTGGCTACACCGAGGGCAGCCTCTCTCTCAGGAGACCTGCCCAGAAGTCGGGCCACTGGGCTGTGAAGAAACTCAAGCTACTTGGAATGACCGTGTGTGGATGTTCTGGCTGACATCTATTGCTAACTGAGGTGATTCTCATCCAGCTGAGGTACTCAATATTGCAGGACAGAGATAACTGCTTTGACACCATGAGAGAGAAAATACTACTCTTGTTTTAAGCCACCAAGTTTTGAGATAATATGTTACACAGCATTAGACAACTAATGTACTTGGGTTTGGACTCTGAATTTATATTACCTCTGTGGCCTGAAAAATCTGAATCTATAATTTTGGTTTTGAGTGATCTAGATGAGTAGTGCCCTTTGCTGCCTAGCTTCAAAATACATAAGTCTTCAAAATATTATCATAAATATGGTTTCAAGAAACACAAATGTGCTTATGATTAAAAAAACCACAATACGTAAGAAACAAGTTACTGAGTTACTCAAAGAGCAGAATCAGACACACAGACTACAGAATTGGAATTATTAGAAGCCGATATAAGTATTTAATGTAAAGAAATAAAAGAGAATATCAAAGTATGAGAAAGTAACAGGAGACTACTGTATTTTCAAAAAGAATCTCTCATTATGAGAAACATTAAAGGACAAAATTACTAATCACCTCAATACCTAAGACTGTTACTATAAAACTACCAACCCACATTAAAGACCAGTACAAATGAGGAGATATGTGATAAAATCATATAAAGAGTTTATATTATATGTCAATTTTCCCTATATTTATTAATAAAGTAATTAAAAAAAACATGCCGGCAAGGTATTTCCTTTAACATGATCAAACTAATTGTAAAATGTATTTGGAAGAAGAAAGGTCAAAAACAGCAAATGCTCTGAAGAACAATAAATCAGAGGGCAGGGCATGTTTTATATTTTTTATTTGAAAAAAATTTTGATTTCTAATCCCAACCTATTGAAAAATAAGAAGAAATTTATTAAAGAATCCACTGCACCTATATATGTTGTAAATAAAATCCAGGCTTCTCTTTTAAGTCTTGAAACAAATTTGCTTATAATTTGACTCTCATAGTTTTAGTATAAAACATAAATTAAAACAGGAAAAAAATGAGGCTATTACCCATGTCTATTTGCAACTGATATCCTTAATAGCATGAACTGAGAAGAAAAGTGCTTAGACTCAGATTCTCAATAAATATGAGAAATGGCTTAATGTTAATGTTATGATTTTGAAGGAAAAAAGGGTTTATCAAATCAAGAAATATTAAAAAAATACGAGTTAGTGCTAGAGAGGGTACTATATTAAGACAGATAGTCTCATTACTTGTCAGAATGTAAACTGGTGTGTTTTGGGGAATGCAATTTGCACGCAAAGCCTTAAAACAGCCAAATTTAGATATCAATTCTAATGAAATAATATAAAATGCCTAAAGATGTTCACTGCTACTTGTGATAAACTGGAAAAAAACCTCTAAATATATATACAATAAGGGATGACGAAATAAAATTTTATCTCTGAGACCACTTAAAAGGTTGTATATCAAGTTCTTATTAACATGGGCAAATGTTTAAATTATCTCACAAGGACACATTCTTTATATAGTTTGTTTTCACTGTTTTATTCCTAGGGCATAGAATCAGGTCTAGAATATACCTTTTTGTAAACTAAAATTTTATTATAACTTTTTTAAACAGCAGTTTTAGATTCACAATAAAATTGAAAGGAAGAGATTTCCCATGTCCTCCCTGCCCACTACATGCACTGCCTCCCTCATTACCAACATTCTTCAAGAGGGTGGTACATGTTACAACTGATGATCCTACACTGACACATTATAATAACCCAGAGTCCACAGTTTATAGTAGGGGTTCACTCATGTGAACATGGGTTTGTTCAAAAGTATAATGATAGATATCCATCATTATAATATCATAAAATATTTCCACTGCCTAAAAAAATCCTCTGTGCCCCTCCTATTCATCCTTCTTCCCATCCCAATCCCAGGCAATCACTTATCTTTTTACTGTCTCCAGAGTTTTGCCTTTTTTGGAATGTCATACAGTTGGAATTGTATAGTATGTAGCCTTTTCAGATTGGATACTTTCACTTAGTCTATGCATTTAAGGTTCCACCATGCCTTTTCATGGCATGATACCTTATTTCTTTTTAGTGCTAGTATTCCATTTCTGGATATACTATTTATCTATTCATCTACTGAAGGATACCTGGGTTACTTCAAAGTTCTGGCAATTACGAATAAAGCTGCTACAAACGTGTGTGCAGGGTTTTGTGTGGACATATTTCAACTCCTCTGGGTAAATAAATACCAAGGAGGGTAATTGCTGGATGGTTTGGTAAAAGAGTATGTTTACTTTTGTAAGAAAGTGCTAAACTGCCTTTCAAGGTGGCTCACCCATTTTGCAACCCCACAATCAATGAATGCGAATTCCTATTGCTCTGCATCCCCATCAACCTTCAGTGTTGTCAGTGTTCTGGATTTTGGTATTCTAACAGTGTGCAGTGTGCGTAAGTGTTTAATAAATATTTGATGAATGATGAAGTAATGTTCAGTGAAAAATATAAAATTGTATAAAATGTGATTTCGGTGAAAAAGCTGTACAGAAAAAGAAGTGGAACAGCAAACAACCAAATGGGAAGAGGGCATGGGCATTTGTGAAAAACAGCTTTATTGAGGTTTAACTTTACATTCCCCCAAATTCACCAACTGTACATACAGTTTAATTAATTCAGTTATACAGTTGTCACCATAATGCAGTACCATGGCCAATTTTTGTTTTCTCATTCCATCTTTTCTGTATGGCAAAGGAGGCCTTATTCTTTGAAAAGTCCCTTCACTTAAAGTTGGGTGGAATTGAACTCTAAAATTACTATCAAATTATTTCCTACTCCTAACAATCTGTTTATCTCTTCAATTTGACATATGCGTCTTTCTAGCATAAAAAGGATTTAAAAAGCAGCAGGTGGGTCTTCTACCACCGTTGGAAGTAAAACTAAAAGTTGTGCAGGCATGATATAACCTAGATTATGTTTGGTGTACTATATAGTAAGATCATTATTCTTGGTCCTTCTGCAAATAAAAAGGTTAATGGGCACGGTCTCAGTTCCCAACGGAAATGTAGGTACTAAATGGACCAAAGGTTAGCAGTTCTCTGTGCTCCTAAATCCTGCTAGCAAAGACTGGAATACACAAGCCGCGGAAGTCTCCCAACCCGCCTGGGAAGCTGGCCGCTACAGTTCCCCGGCTGGGGCCACCGTTTCTCTATTAAGTGCCCAGAGAAGGGACCTTCGCTGTATTTACTTAGATTCTTGTAACAGGGAACTCTTCGGGAAGAAGTGGACTGAGATACGTTAGCACCTACATCCTTCACAGACAGTCCCGGCTCCCAGTGCCCCGCCTACAGCCTCCTACCTGCAGAAAAGCAGAGCAGAGACACCCGGCGCCTCAGGCGGGTCAAGCCTAGCACGGTGGGAGCAAAGAACATGGCTTCATCGTCGGGGTGCGCGATCACTAGGAGGGTCCGGTTTCCGGCTCCCAGCAGACCAGCCTGCTCCTTACTCTCCATTCGTTCGGAGTAGTCCCCAAACCAGAGGAAGCCCCACGATAGGACCACCACTGCCAAACATAGAAGACCCACCACTTCCATGCTCCGTAAGTGGCATTGAGCCTGCGCAATCGGGAAGGCTGCAGCTGTCTCCGACTCCGGCGGGAAAACTGAGCTTCGGAAATCGCGTTCCGAGCTGAACTCCGGCTTGCTGACCTGAAGCTTTAAAAACAAACAAACAAAACACGGGTTCCTGTTATGGTTTTATGCGGATGTATCCCAACATTTCTTCATCGAGTTCTTTTTACTTTGTGGCATTTCCCACGTCTTATGCTTGCTCGGTTTCAGAGCTGAACTGAAACCCTTTGCCGTCCCGTTTTCTACTCTTGTCCTAATTGTGAAAGCTGATTTTAAAACACGCTTCCTTCGCCTCCCCATCGTGCGTTCTCTCTTCACCATTTAGTAACTCACTTCTTAAAACCCGGGACTTTCTCGTAATTACGTGGTTAGACAGCCCCTTATCTAGATGAACACCAACTTTGTTTTGCCTTAATTTGGGGATGTTGGGAGTGGTGGCTTCCCTGAAGGCCAAGTATGCGGTTGCGACGGGGCGTCTAGTCATTTCACTAGAACAGTCAGGCTGAACGTGTACTAAGGAGACGCGAGGCCGCAGGTTCCTCTGGCGGATGACTTTAGGTTAAGGATCGACATCCTGGACAAATCGGCCTTGCCCGGCATTTTAGTGAAGTCTTGGTGCGAATTACAGCCAGAGCCCTAGAAGCTCTGTTGGGTAGGTCGCCCACCCCTACGGCTCCCAAGACGCGGGCATCCTGCTTCCCTCCCGGCTGCCCAGACCCGAGGAGACTGCCGCCGTTCCGCTGCGCCGCGGAGGGGTCACAGGGCCAGCAACGTCCCTCTCCCACGCCCGGGACCGGTCGGCTCGGTGCGCGGCGCAGCGCGTTGGGTCCGGTCCCGCCTCTGTTCGAGGGAACCGCCGCCTCCAGGCCGAAGGACAACGCGAGGGGACCAGGAAGCTCGGCCGAGGTAAAGCCGCGCTCAGCCAGCGGAGGGACTCGGCCTCCCATTCCCCCGGAAGGAGGAGGAGCCGGCGCCGGAGCCGCCTCAGCCGCCGCCGCCGCCGGTGCTGGGGGAGGGAGAGGGGTTGAGTCAAGATGGCGGCCAAGGTGGCGAAGCAGCAGCGGCGGCGGCGGCGGTGGCTGGAGTGAGCGCCCAGCTGGCTGCGTCGAGTGAGGTCCGGAGTAGCGACGCGCGCCAAGGCCGAGTCCTGCCCCTCAGGCCCGGAGGCGCGCCGGCTAGCACACTCCGCCCGCTCCCGGTGAGTAGGCCCCGGCGCCCGTAGCTCCGGCCTCCGGGCCCCCGCTCGCCCGAGGGCTTCTGAGGCTCTCAGGGCACCAGCCGCGGAGTGGCTATCCCGCCGGGCGAGGGGCGTTGCGTACCGCGCAGGTCGGGAGCCGCCCAGCCTCCCTGCCGGTTTTCTTCGGCCGCCCGGGGCGAGTCGGGCGCGGCAGGGAGCTCGGGCTGGGCGAGTGGAGGAGGCTTTTGGAGTTCGGCGGAAGAATGGGCCGGGCCGGGGCGCGGTGTCCCGTGGAGGGGCGTGCGGAGCCCGGAGGGCCGCCTGAGGAAGCCCGGGCGGGGCCGGCACAGGTGGCGGGCCTGGGCTCACTGCGGCGCAGTTGGCCGTCTTGGGAGTGTAAAGGGTAGGGAGGGGGACAGCGGTGGACAAGTGTGTGAAGAGCAAACTGCTTCACCTTTCTGACCAAACCTCTTCTGGGTATAATGGCGAAGGGTGGGTAGCGGTGGAGATGGCAGAGATCGGAACCCAATACCTTCTGCCTTTTATTCTTGGTGATTTAATGTGCGAAGTCGGTGAATTCTCTTTTTTGGGGGAAGAGAGACTTGAGAAACCGTAATTGAGAAATCAGTCTTGATGGATAGGAGACTGAATTCTTAGAATTAGCTGGATTAGGCATAGTCGCGTATTAAAGGTGTGGATGGGAATAAGTGATATTTATGAAAAGTGTTTGCTCAGGAAGTGTGGCATGCCACAGTGCCGCTTCCACAGAGTTAACCTTGGAGGGTAGTGGTATGAGTGATTCTAATCTTTTGAATTAGTATATTCACCTGCATCAGATTTGCTTCCTTAATTATATCTAAGTATTTTGAAAATTGATTTGTAAAATTCCTTGTGTGCACCCTGGTGAGGCAGTGATAGAAGGCGGAACATTGTGCAAAGGGCAGTGTTTGAAAAGGCCCACAAATATTCATTCATTTCTTCAACATATCTTGATAATAGCTGTTGTTGATGGGTCACATGTAATTATCCCTTCCATAACTGAAGAGTTGATGTTTTGAAAGTGTTCTGATAGACCCTTTCATTTCATAAAGGTATTTATTGGATGGACCAATTGACCTATCAAGAGAAGATCAGTTTTAGAATCTTACTTAGACCAATTTTAGAATCTTACTTAGACGTGGGTAAAAATCACAGAAGAAATAACGAGTTGTTGGAGAAGGAAACAGTGTCTTTATTTTCTCATGCTGTTAAAATGCAGTGGAATTTTATTTATTTATTTTTAATATTTATAGTACACAGTTGCTTTAAGCACACCTGTTAGTGGAAATCAGAAGTTAACATGTGCATGTAAATAATATGTACATACTACATAGGATGTGATAACTTGCAATACCAAAATACTTTTTCCTTTTACAAAAGCCTTGCTGTATGTTGAATTACTCCCCCAGAGAAAATACAAAGTCCTGATTCTTCCTTTAACTTACTCTGTGACATTTTGGAACATTATCAACCTTTCTGTTCTTCAGTTTCCTCATCTGTAATAGTAGGAAAATACCTGCTCTCCTTGGGTTGACTGTCCTGAGCCAAAGGGAGTTAATAGTTACAAAATTGCTTTAAACAGATTGAAAGGGTTATATTTCTGCGAGGTAGTAACAGCTCCCTCTGCACTCCTGAAATGCTTTATCTGCATGTCTCTCATGGCGTTTACACTTTTTTCCTTGTCTTTAGGTATTTGCCAGTTTTATCTCCTCTTGAGGGCAGGATAGGCTCTCTGATTTTATTTTTACGTTTAAGGCAGCATGTAGGATTTAATTTTCTGTGTAGGCTATTGACACTGCAGATGTTTGCTGAACGAATAAACATTGTAAATGTATTCCCATAATTAAAATTTAGCTGTATACACCTGTTATATGCTTTGAAATATCTGTATAGCTATGATTCTCTCCATGGCTTTTGAGGAAACATGTATTTTTAACCGGATGTCCTCGTGGATTTAATCATACAGTAAAGCAAGTATTTGTTTACCCACATAATTAAAAAAGTACAGAATGCTCAAAATTATGTTTTTTTGAATTTGTTGAATAAAAGTTGTTCGAAGGCTAGCCAAATTTACCTTAAGATTTTTTTAACTTTTTTTTTTTGTGAAATGGTGAGATTTTCTTACCATTGCTATCTGCAGTGGAAAACAAAGGCCTTTGAATAGTCGAGGAATTGATGTAGGTAAATGTCAGGCTATTTGTTACTCATTTTTTTTGTGTGTGTGTTTTGTTACTCACTTTTAATTGTATTTTGTGATCTGTCTTAATTCCAATTTCAAATTGTTGTAGACGTCAAGGAATGATAGATGTCTTTCATATTTAGTAACTTCCATATTGGATTTTACTAACATACGGTACAAAGAAGTAGTAAAGGTTGATCAGGATTTATTATGTATGGACTTCTTTGTTGATTAGAGATTAATGTATAGATCAGCCACTTGTGTTCAGCCAGTGTGAAGTACCTTTTCTGTTCAGAGCATTTACTAGATGCTATAAAAGTATCAAGTTGAGCAGATCAGTTACATGCACAAATAATCCAGTCTAAGTTCCTTGATATTTTGTCCTTTTCAGTTTGTCGATGCAAATAGTGTATTTATGTAGATGGTTAAGAAAATATTTTGTTTCTTTTTTTAATCAGGACATTTTAGGAGTATTGAAAAGTTGTGAAAAACTGTCATGTAACAATAATGTGTGTAGAGCATCTGTTTTTTATTTTGGTATTCTTGTGGTGGTGGTTTTCCTTGAACATTTTACTGTTCTACCATTTTTTTCTATCTCAGAAGATTGTGTGGTCAAAATACTACTTGGCTAGTCTTCAGATACAACATACTTTTATCTATCCTCCTTGCATATGAAAATGAGACCATGCAAAGCCATATGAATATTCCTGTGATCTTCAGTTTGCTACTTTTACTTAAAAGTGATCTCAAAAACAAATCTAAATTGTTTAAAATGCTAATAATTCATAGAATTATGGAGTGTAGAGTCATACAGATTATCTAGTTTTTTTTTAAAACCCATTTTACAGGTGAATAATCTGAGGGTCACAGAAGTGATCTGCTTAGCATTTGAGTAGTAGCAGGATCCAAAATTTTGATACCCAGGATAGTGCTTACTCCATTGCACCATGTCAATCTGCGGGATGATTCAATGTGATGGTTGACAATTTCTTAAAATAAAAATTGAGGTGGATGGGGTGTGAGAGATCACTTACTCAGCTTAATAGTTGAATTTATGGTATTCTTGAAATTTCTGCAATGAAAATACATGTTGAAAAAAATAGTATTGATCTACACCAGTAATTTGATGATCACTGGGAGTTATTTAGTTTGCTTAATATTTAATCTGCTATGATAAATATCTTATTAAAAATGTTTTTGAGGTTATCTGGACCTAGTGACAATTCATGGAATTGAAGTAGGCAGTGATGGAAATGCTGTTATATCAGTGGTTAGGTGATTCAGATCCAAACAGGTTAATTATTTTATAAGTTAGCTATTCCTTGATTCACTTACTCAAACTTCTGGAGAAAAAAATTTTTTTAACTATGAGGATTTCAGTTGCAGAAAAGCTTAGATAAATAACATGAATTCTATTAATGCTGTGTTGAAAAGCTCATACCTTAGTTTTCTGTGGAGTATTCATGCCAAAATGTTTACTGTAAACAAAAAACACACATACACACACACATTTTAAACTCAGATATTCTGTCATTAATTCTGAAGCATGGCATGTTTATTCCATTTGGGCTGTTGAATATTATGTCTATTTTGTATTGCATTAAAAAGGGTTGTTTTTTCTCATACTGTGCTCTTTTTTGGAATGCTGTTTCTCTACCTTAACTTTTCCAAACTCTGCCATATCTAAATTCTGCCTGTTTTGGGGGTTTGAACACACATCCCTTCATCCAGAAGACTCCCTCCTACTCCCTCCTCTCCAAAGATGTCTGTTTTTCATTCTGGGAATTCTTTACTTTTGCCTCTGTTGTAATGTCATAGTTATTTACATATGCATATGTCCATTTAGTCCCCACTTAGACCACAAGTCCATTGTGGGCATGTCTGTATATCATTTATTTTTTAATCCTTCCTGTGTAGTAGAATTTGTTGAAAGCATAAAAAAGAGCCTAGCCCCTAGTTATTTGGTGCAGTTGTTGTAGAGGCTGACTGATACACCTGCAAACTTGGTGATGAAATTTTTTTGGAAATTAAAAATCAGATAGAAATTTACCAGTGTTAGTGAGATAAAATGTCTGCAATCAGTGCATTATCATAGTATTTCTTAAAAAACAAAAAGTTTCTGTTACTTAGTGGGATTTTTGGGAGAAAGAGAAAGTAAACATAGGATTGGCTCATCTCAGACTATGTATTTTTAGAACAGATGTGTTAAGTTTATATATGCAGGAAATTTTGGAGTAGTTTCAGTGCTAATAAAAAATTGTGAATTAGGAATATAGGATATTGGTTTATAGGATTATTATAGAATCTCTTTCAAGGGATCCGTTTGAAAGAATAGTACTGACTAGTTTTATATCAAAGATTAAATCTTCACGTAGATTAGTCAAGAGCAAAGGAAAAATCCAGATTATCAAATTATTATATTGAACCTCCTTCCCCCCAGTATCTACTTGAAGAATAAAACTTGGGCCGCTTTTCTGGTTTTGTTTTTGATGTATGTACATAAGCTGATACCAAACCAGGATAAACTGAGGTTATGTTTTTCTAGGAAAATTTGACTCTCAGATTTCTTATGAGGGTCACAAGGGTCGCAGATTGCCTCCCCCCACCCACTATCATACTTCTATTTAACTGACAGATTCTTTCCTTGACAATTTTATTGTCATGCACAGTTCAGAGGCAGAGTAATCTGTTCTAGGCAGTTCATTGCCCTTGGCAGTAGCCTGCCTTGCTGTATGTTGAATTACTCCCCCAGAGAAAATACAAAGTCCTGATTCTTCCTTTAACTTACTCTGTGACATTTTGGAACATTATCAACCTTTCTGTTCTTCAGTTTCCTCATCTGTAATAGTAGGAAAATACCTGCTCTCCTTGGGTTGACTGTCCTGAGCCAAAGGGAGTTAATAGTTACAAAATTGCTTTAAACAGATTGAAAGGGTTATATTTCTGCGAGGTAGTAACAGCTCCCTCTGCACTCCTGAAATGCTTTATCTGCATGTCTCTCATGGCGTTTACACTTTTTTCCTTGTCTTTAGGTATTTGCCAGTTTTATCTCCTCTTGAGGGC